ATAATAATACTCTTGGCCATATAATGCAGGTGTAGGCAATTCATACCACTTACCTACCTCAATCCTTTCTGAAGATATTTCCTGAAGTTCTTTAAACATGAACTCCGAGCCGAAACATTTCAAGAAAGATCATTTCCTGACCTTAGCCAACGTATTATTCGTTGTACGTCCAATGCTGCAGCCACCGCAACATAGCTCCAGGATTCATGGGTAATAGGGGCTCAGTGTCCCTCAAGTCCTGTTTGTATGAACAGTGGCCACTGTACCTGCTCCTTCCCCGGGCCATCGGTCATCTAACATCTCCACTAGTTCTAATTGCACCAGCAGTGATGTCATTATGTCGCCACTTGCTGTAGTGGGAAGATCGACGCATCTCAGGCTCCTGGTCTGTCCGGCCCACTAACATGACTGAATTTGACTTGCAGGCCAGAAGACTCCTGGTCTGTCCAACCCACAATGACATAACTCCATGTTTGACAGGCCAAGATACTCCTGGTTTGCCCCGGCCCACAAAGAGATACCACAAGGTATGATAGGCCAAGAGTCTGCTGGTCTGTCGCACCCATAATGACATAACACCATGATTGACAGGCCAAGTGACTCCTGATCTGTCCTGCCCACCATGACATAACACCATGATTGGCAGGCCAAGAGACTCCTGGTCTGTCCAACGCACAAAGACATACTACAAGGTATGATAGGCCAAGAGTCTGCTGGTCTGTCGCACCCATAATGACATAACACCATGATTGACAGGCCAAGAGACTCCTGGTCTGTCTCGCTCACAAAGGTATACGATCATGTATGATAGGCCAAGAAACTCCCACACTGATATAAGACCATGATTGACAGGCCAAGAGACTCCTGGTTTGCCCCGGCCCACAAAGACATACCACAAGGTATGATAGGCCAAGAAAGTCCTGGTCTGTCCCACCCATGAAGACATACCACAAGGTATGATGGGCCAAGAGACTCTTAGTTTGTCCCGCCCACAGAGACATGCTACAAGGTATGATAGGCCCAGAAACTACTGGTCTGTCTCACCCACAATGACATAACTCCATGATTGACAGGCCAAGAGACTCCTGGTCTGTCCCGCTCACAAAGACATACTACAAGGTATGATAGGCCAAGAGTCTGCTGGTCTGTCGCACCCATAATGACATAACACCATGATTGACAGGCCAAGAGACTCCTGGTCTGTCTCGCTCACAAAGGTATACGATCATGTATGATAGGCCAAGAAACTCCCACACTGATATAAGACCATGATTGACAGGCCAAGAGACTCCTGGTTTGCCCCGGCCCACAAAGACATACCACAAGGTATGATAGGCCAAGAAAGTCCTGGTCTGTCCCACCCATGAAGACATACCACAAGGTATGATGGGCCAAGAGACTCTTAGTTTGTCCCGCCCACAGAGACATGCTACAAGGTATGATAGGCCCAGAAACTACTGGTCTGTCTCACCCACAATGATATAACACCATGATTGATAGGCCAAGAGACTCCTGGGTTGTCCCACTCATGAAGACATAACACCATTAATGAGAGGCCAAGAGACTCCTAGTCTGTCCCGCCCACAAAGACATGCTACAAGGTATGATAGGCCAAGAGACTCCTGGTTTGTCCCGCCCACAAAGACATACTATCATGTATTATAGGCCAAGAGACTCCTGGTCTGTCCCGCCCATAATGACATAACACCATGATTGACAGGCCAAGAGACTCCTAGTCTGTCCTGCCCACAAAGACATGCTACAAGGTATGATAGGCCAAGAGACTCCTGGTTTGTCCCGCCCACAAAGACATACTATCATGTATGATAGGCCAAGAGACTCCTAGTCTGTCCCGCCCACAAAGACATACTATCATGTATGATAGGCCAAGAAACTCCTGGTCTGTCCCACCCATGAAGACATACTACAAGGTATGATAGGCCAAGAGACTCCTGGTTTGCCCCGCCCATGAAGACAAAAAAGGAAGCAACGTCGGAGCTTCCTAGATCTCTCCTCGCGGTGCCCAGGCGTAGCTGCTTTTCCCGCCTGAAGATCGTCATGGACATTAAATAGGTGAATTTAACAAAAACTATATAAGTGTTAAACATAAAACTTTCTACCTCTGGCAGGAGACATAATGGTGAGAACCGGGAGTTCCGCTTTATATTTAGTGGCAACGTTGGAACAATTCAGTGAACCATAAAGAGATAATCACGAGCGCGCCACTAAATCTCTGATGCCGTCTCCCCGGGCCGAGATGCCCATAACGTGACCCCGGATCAGAGGCTTGTTCCCACTTTCTGGATATTCTTCACTGCGGATCAGTTTTATGGAACGAGCTCCGATTTTCCTTCCTTTGGTTGTGATAAATTGGCCTCTTTACATGAGCGGCTGCACAGGAATGAGGAGACGGCCGGCCAGCGTCGTGCTCAGCAGACGACAGAGAATTCCCCGGGTCGCCATTGCCAGCTGCCTGATATCCTGGCTGCGGTCGGATTTGGAAACCAACACTGTACTTTTCCTTTTAGTAACACTGACTGGACCCCAAACACTGTCTAATTCACTTTATCATGGTCACTGCATACTTGGCCCCTCGCGGTGCTGCGATTGCTGGATTACAGGGAATTGGAGCAGCAAACTGCTTCCTGATATCATCCAGCAAAATACATTTACAATGTTCTTCCAGCCTACTGCACTCTGTATGGGTATATGAGAGAGCCACGGGCAGAAGATGATCCTCAGACAAGTTTTCAGGTGGTGGGGGTCCTCTCCGCACACCTTACAGCAGTCCTGGCCAAATGATCCTCAGACAAGGACACTATATATCTCCGGTCCACCCAAATTCCGGATGTAGCACATAAAGACTTCCCAGTAGCCATGTGATATCAAACACAGGTGCCCGTGGTCAACCATTGCCCCACCCAGTCACAGAAGGACCCAAATAAGGATGGTCAAGCCTAAAAGATGGGGCAGAGTTTTTTAGTGCTCATATCCAGGTTCCGGCACGCATTCGCCTACATAGTCATCCAGCCACTGGATGGTCCAACCAACCCGACCAACATTCAAAACCATCCCAATGAAGCACGTAGTCTCTCCTGCATACTGTTGGCCAGTTCGGCCCAAGCACAGACCACTAGAAATCAGATGGAACATCAATGAGGTGTTCCAATCCTTGCCAAGACCGCGTGTAACATACACTATATTGCCAAAAGTATTGGGACTCATTCATCCCAAAGGTGTTCTATGGGGTTGAGGTCAGGACTCTGTGCGGCCAATCACGTTCCCCCCCCCCCAAACTTGCTCATCCATGTCTTTATGGACCTTGCTTTGTGCACTGGGGCGCAGTCATGTTGGAACAGGAAGGGGCCATCCCCAAACTCCTCCCACAAAGTTGGGAGCATGACATTGTCCAAAATGTCTTGGTGTGCTGATGCCTTAAGAGTTCCCTTCACTGGAACTAAGGGGCCAAGCCCAACCCCTGAAAAACAACCCCACACCATAATCCCCCCTCCACCAAACTTTACACTTGGCACAATGCAGTCAGGCAAGTACCGTTCTCCTGGCAACCGCCAAACCCAGACACGCCCATCGGATTGCCAGACAGAGAAGCGTGATTGGTCACTCCAGAGAACACGTCTCCTCTTCTCTAGAGTCCAGTGGCGGCGTGCTTTACACCCCGGCATCCCACGCTTTGCATTGCACTTGGTGATGTGCGGCTTGGATGCAGCTGCTCGGCCATGGAAACCCATTCCATGAAGCTCTCTACGCACTGTTGTTGTGCCAATCTGAAGGCCACACGGAGTTTGGAGGTCTGTAGCTATTGACTCTGCAGACAGTTGGCGACTTCTGCGCGCTTCAGCATGCGCTGACCCCGCTCTGTCATGTGACGTGGCCGACCACTTCCTGGCTGAGTTGCTGTTGTTCCCAGTTGCTTCCACTTTGTTATAATCCCAGTAACAGGTGACCGCGGCGGAATATTTAGTAGCCAGGAAATGTCACGGTTGCACTTATTGCACAGGTGACAACCTATCACGGCACCACGCTTGTAGTCACTGAGCTCCTGAGAGCGACCCGTTCTTTCACCAATGTCTGTAGAAGCGTCTGCACGCCGAGGTGCCTCATCCTATACACCGGGGACCATTGAGGGGATTGGAACACCTGAATCCAATGATTTGGAGGGGGAGGGGCCCAATACTTTTGGCAATAGAGTGTAGGTCTTGTAGGGAAGAACTGACAATGCCTAGTGCTAGCCAGCACCTACAGTTCCTTCCAGCCTTACATTGACTTACGTCAACCAGGAGGACGCTTTCTGCAGTGATGTATATGCATAGTCCCTTCCCACCAACCATTATGAAGGGAGGCTTAACAGTCATGTGGCTGCATTAAAATAAAAGATACATTGTATTTAGGAGCCTTTTTTGGCAGATAGGTATGGTATAAACCTTTTCCATCTACTTTAGGTAAGGTCCTCAATGAGTGTTGCTATTTTAAAAATATCCCCTCGTTATAATCCCAGTAACAGGTGACCGCGGAATATTTAGTAGCCAGGAAATGTCACGGAACACCTCAATCCGATGATTTGGAGGGGGAGGGGCCCACTACTTTTGGCAATATAGTGTATTTAAAGTCTATCTCCAGCCAAAACCTTTTTGGTTTAAAATTTTGGATGTAGCAGAGAAGAGTGAGATGTCCTCTATTGTGTTGTCCGTGGCCCCATTCTGGAGACTTTTCCTGATTTCTCACCCCCCTGGCAGCATTAACACCAAGGCAGGAAAATCTCTCTAAAATGGTAAATTTCAATGCTGTCACCAGGGCTGGGGGGATTCTTGCTTCATACTGTTCCCTACTCTACACAAAACAAAAAAAGAGTTTGGCTAGAGATATACTTTCACTTTGCAGGATCGAATGTTCTCCCTTTTTCTCGGTGATGCTTATCCCTCAGAGATGTAACCAGCACAGGCAGCTGTCCAGGGTGCTGGTGACGTTATGGGGCCACCATATCACAGTGAGCTCTGCATCCCTCCGGGTACAATGTCTGGTGACGTGCAGTATTCGGTTATTCTTACCTTCTGGTACTCTTCTTTGGATTTTAAGGCTTCTTCCAACTGTTCCTTGTTGTAGGTGTAGATGGCGGAGCGATACATTGTTCCCACATCGTTACCCTGACGCATCCCTGAAACAAATAAAACAAAGGATTAAAACTCAGCTAGAGTACATCAAGTGTGATTATAACTGTATTATGAATACTCGTGGGTGGCTCTGGACACTGAGTACTCTACAACAGCTCTGGACACTGAGTACTCTACAACAGCTATGGACACTGAGTACTCTACCACAGCTCTGGACACTGAGTACTCTACCACAGCTCTGGACACTGAGTACTCTACCACAGCTCTGGACACTGAGTACTCTACCACAGCTCTGGACACTGAGTACTCTACCACAGCTCTGGACACTGAGTACTCTACCACAGCTCTGGACACTGAGTACTCTACCACAGCTCTGGACACTGAGTACTCTACCACAGCTCTGGACACTGAGTACTCTACCACAGCTCTGGACACTGAGTACTCTACCACAGCTCTGGACACTGAGTACTCTACCACAGCTCTGGACACTGAGTACTCTACCACAGCTCTGGACACTGAGTACTCTACCACAGCTCTGGACACTGAGTACTCTACCACAGCTCTGGACACTGAGTACTCTACCACAGCTCTGGACACTGAGTACTCTACCACAGCTCTGGACACTGAGTACTCTACCACAGCTCTGGACACTGAGTACTCTACCACAGCTCTGGACACTGAGTACTCTACCACAGCTCTGGACACTGAGTACTCTACCACAGCTCTGGACACTGAGTACTCTACCACAGCTCTGGACACTGAGTACTCTACCACAGCTCTGGACACTGAGTACTCTACCACAGCTCTGGACACTGAGTACTCTACCACAGCTCTGGACACTGAGTACTCTACCACAGCTCTGGACACTGAGTACTCTACCACAGCTCTGGACACTGAGTACTCTACCACAGCTCTGGACACTGAGTACTCTACCACAGCTCTGGACACTGAGTACTCTACCACAGCTCTGGACACTGAGTACTCTACCACAGCTCTGGACACTGAGTACTCTACCACAGCTCTGGACACTGAGTACTCTACCACAGCTCTGGACACTGAGTACTCTACCACAGCTCTGGACACTGAGTACTCTACCACAGCTCTGGACACTGAGTACTCTACCACAGCTCTGGACACTGAGTACTCTACCACAGCTCTGGACACTGAGTACTCTACCACAGCTCTGGACACTGAGTACTCTACCACAGCTCTGGACACTGAGTACTCTACCACAGCTCTGGACACTGAGTACTCTACCACAGCTCTGGACACTGAGTACTCTACCACAGCTCTGGACACTGAGTACTCTACCACAGCTCTGGACACTGAGTACTCTACCACAGCTCTGGACACTGAGTACTCTACCACAGCTCTGGACACTGAGTACTCTACCACAGCTCTGGACACTGAGTACTCTACCACAGCTCTGGACACTGAGTACTCTACCACAGCTCTGGACACTGAGTACTCTACCACAGCTCTGGACACTGAGTACTCTACCACAGCTATGGACACTGAGTACTCTACCACAACTATGGACACTGAGTACTCTACAGCAGCTCTGGACACTGAGTACTCTACCGCAGCTCTGGACACTGAGCACTCTACAGCAGCTCTGGACACTGAGCACTCTACAACAGCTCTGGACACTGGGCACTCTACCACAGCTCTGGACACTGAGTACTCTACAACAGTTCTGGACACTGAGTATTCTACAACGGCTCTGGACACTGAGTACTCTACAACAGCTCTGGACACGGAGTACTCTACAGGAGCTCTGGACACTGAGTACTCTACCACAGCTATGGACACTGAGTACTCTACCGCAGCTCTGGACACTGAGTACTCTACCGCAGCTCTGGACACTGAGAACTCTGCAACAGCTATGGACACTGAGTACTCTACCACA